CAGGTATAAAAAATTTTTTTTTAAATAAATGAATTCAATAGTTTGAATAATGTACTGTTCTTTAGATTATTTGAGACTGGAGGTTTTGTTGAAACTCAACAAACTAGTAATAGTGTTGTAGGTAGTTCTCCCGATGAAGGATATGCAGAACTTCATCTTGTTACACCTACAAAGACACCAAAAAAAGATGTTTGCCCAGAACTTTGTAAGTAATGTCTACATTGTACAAAATAAATTAATGATATCAAATTTTAAAATAACGTCTTGCAGATTATCAATATGATGCTATTTCACCAAATAAACCAAATTTATTTTCACCAAATAATAAGGTTACTCGGCGGCGGAGAAGTTTTTCAGAATATCCTGAAATTGGCTTAAATTTACAATGTAGTGTAAGTGAAAAAAAAAAATAAGCTAATTTTGTTTACATTACGTATGGTTAGAGTATTAAAATCAATGTAGGTACTTCACTTAGTTTTGTTTTACATTTTTGAAAAGCTTTTTTTGAGTTTGAGAATTAATAACTGACACAAATAATGTGTTGTTTATTCAAAGGTAAGATTATAATTGGTTTGACTTTTTAATATATGGGTGCTTATGTATGGGTTTTTCATTAATATACTGTATTTGACACAGGTACTACATACAATAAAATATATACATAAATTGTTTTTTAAAACACATTTAACAGTGCATGGTATTGATATGCTGTTTTTGCTCTATTTTTTTTCATTACTCATTATTTTTTGTTTACCTTTTTACTGTGTACAAAATTTGTTCCAAATGGCTTATTGAATGAAATAAAGTCTCTTGTGTAACTTTGTAATAAGTTCGTGATGACGTTATTCTACAATATTTGTTAAATGAATGAAATATTAATTTTATAGATGTGACCATTTTTTAAAAACCGTCAGTGAATTTTCCTGTACTTATTTTTTGATTTGTATTATTGAGTAACTACATTTATATTAATTAAATACTCTATATTTGATTTAAAAATATTCTGAATTTTTATGTATCTACCAATTCTGTCAAATACTGTGTACCAACATCTTAGCAAATCATTTTAAGGGTGCATTATTTAATTTAAAGGTTGTGGGACACTTTTCATTTTAATCCAGGTAAATATTCAAAGGAACACAGTAAAACACTTTTTTATATAACGTGATTACATATTATATATGGTTTTCTATTCTGGTTATAAGTTGAGATTTGAACTCAACATTTTGATGTGTTGAATTCTGGTCAATTATTACCAGCATTATTTGTTCACATTTGACTGATTAGACCCAAGTAGACAACCATAGCTAATATAAATGCCATTAATGATAGTTAATAGTTCTATTTAATTAAAGATGGTTTAAAATTAATTTTACTTTACTTATAAAAAGTAAACTGTATATTTGCATAACAGTTCATTTAATCACAATAGAACATTTTCTTTGTGCATTTAATTTGTTATGAAACTATACATTCAACCAAATATATTTTTTGTTAAAGTAGTGAAGACTTGCAATTTGCTTTATGCTCAGTGATTAAGTTTCCCGTCTATTAGCTATCCAAATTTGGCTGTTAATAGTGTTTTAAAATTAAATAAATTGGTTTAAGTGTTGTATAAAATTCTATTACTTTTTTTTTTACATAAAATGGTTTTACGTAAATATTAAGTAGACAAAATTGGCACTTTTTTAAATTGGGTTTGATTGTTTGCTTAAAAAAAGATTGAGATGTGTGTGTCTTTGTGGTCTAGACTATTTTGTCAGGCTTGAGCATACCTGGAACGCCTGAGAAACGAACACCAATAAAACAACTACCGTTCAGTCCCTCACAAGTATGTAAATATGTTATGATTTAATCTCCAACGTATATAGTTTTATACTTCATTAAATACTACTGTTAATGTACACGCATGTAAGCAATTAGCTCTATTGCATTTACAGTAGCAGTCTTTGTAGTTAGACTATACATGGTTATAATGGTAATCATTTTTCTTTTTTTATAATATTTTTGGTGAATTTTGATTATTGAAGTCATCTCATGGTGTTATGAAATATTAATGACTAAATAATTAGAAATTCATTTATTTCTCTCAGGATTTTAGATAATTATATTTCTATAGTTTGATCAATTACCAATTAAAAATAAAAGGTTGTTGTCATTTAGCTTTGCTTTTAATTAAATAACTATTCAGTGTTTTTATAAATAATAATAATTGTATGTTTAAGGTTACAAGGTGTATTTTATTTTGTTTCATTCTTATTCTGCACATAGTTTTTGGTGGTTTTGCATTTTTACTTATTTTATTTGTGTAAATACTAAATGATGTGTTTAAATATTATAGTAACAAAAATGATAAAAATATTTAATATATTATAAATTAAATTATTATAATAATACTGTTTTCCTTATGGCAGTGCAGTCATAATAGTTATCGTTTATCAATTGATAATTAAAATTATTGTTACTATAATGTTTGCACCTTTATAAGAGGTATAACTATTATATGATTGCCATTTTTTTTGCCAATTTGTTGTATGTTTCTAATGCCTTTAATTTGTTTTATTAATCTTAACTATAATTTTAAACACTTCAGTCAATTTTTATGTTTTATTTTATAGTTTTTAAATAGTCCATCATTATCATTTGATGTTAATTCGTCTTCAACACCCGTCAGGCGTCTATTACCTAGTTGTAGTAGTAAACCTAATGAAGATATTAGTGATCAAACCATAAAATCTGAAACATTAGTTACACCAAATTTAACTTATAAATTTGCTGGAAGGAGTCGTGATGATGTTAAGACTCCAGAATCAATGCATAGAATTAATACTCCTCATACACCTACGCCATTTAAAATTGCTCTTGCCGAGGCTGGCCGTAAAATGGGTGTGAAGAATTTAGTAAGTTACAGTTTGACATCGTCCATTTGTATTTAATATACTAATATAATGTACTTTGTATTACTAGGTTCAATCCCCGTCAGCTTTAATTGATGATATAACTGCTTACATAAAGCAAGAAGATCAAGTTAAAAAAGAATCGGAATTTTCTGATTCACAATATGAAACTGATAGCTCTAATATGTTTTGTGTAATAATTTTTAATATTTATTTTGTATTTTACTGTATATTATTTATTTTAAAACAATTAATAAATTGTTTAGGATACTAATGACACAGTTGCATGTGGAAAAGAAAATGCAGAACCTCTTTCACCTACACCTCAGAAAAAAGCGAGGAAATCTCTTGCACCAGTGTGGGCTTCTCCAACAGCTTCTTGGAATCAACCTATTGACTCATCTGTAAGTATTTGTTAAATAATTAGTTAATTATTAATAAAATTGTATGGGAATGAACCAGTGGCGCAACTACAAAGGTGATAATGGATGCCGAAGCATTTCCAAATTCCTTGTTTTATAATTTCATAAGCCTACCCAGTGTAAACAAATTAATTTTATTTTTTAAAAAATAATAATCAGTTTATATTTTTCATTGTATTATATTAGTATTGTCATGAGTTCCATTAACTATCCTTGTGAGTTCAGCAACATGTGAACATAGTTATTCCTCAGTGTGGACATTTAAAAATGCCTACGAAGCCGTATGGTATACTAACATTATTTCACCATCTTAAGTATGATAATTCATAGTAAATATCAAAAAAGATTAGGCTAAAGAAGTTGACATGGGAAAAATATTTAATATATTTAATGACAAAAACAAAAAGTTATGTTTAACAATTAAATATAAGTACAAATATTAAAATTTAATATTTTTTTAATATTAGCATGTGGATATTATAATGTTACAATTAAATATTTATTATGTTGGGTGGTCCTCTGTGAGGGTTACATAACTGTAGCACCCTTAAGTTGCGCCACTGACAATTTATGTCAGGTTATCTGTTTTCTACTAATAAAAACAGTGTATATACTGACAAGTTTCATACTTTTATTACATTTTATAAGATTCTATTTTTACGAAATATTATGAAAACACTAGTTTAATCAAGAAAATTGTTATTTCAATAGATTTTTAAAGAAATGCACACGTTTTTAATACTAGGTACTTTTGATAGTTATTGCATATTGTAAAATGTATTAAAAATATGTAGATTAAAATTATTGATTAGGTAGACCTTGTTTTTTATTTCTGTAGCTAGAATTAAATAAGAAAAAAACTAGATAAAATGTGGAAACATGTTGGACAGAGATTTTATTAATAAATATTGTGGCTCAAACATAATTAATTTGTTAACTGTACAAAATTAATGCTGAAGCTTAATCAAACTTTTTAACATTTAACTATATACATTTTAAAATATAATACTAGTTGAATAAACTTGTGAAACAATTTCAAATTAATCTTTTGTTGTAGTACTATTTCAAATTTGAACTATTCAAACTGTTTGAGATGATCAAGTTCTTATTTGAACCTCATTTTAACCCAAGCTTTAAACTGTTGAAATTTCTGAAAGTTTAAGGGCTTTGAGAATTCAAAAGTTGTAGAGGCCATCTCTAATTTTCACTTTCAAAAATAATAAACTGTAATTACAAAACCTCTATTTTTTAGTCTAAAATAATTAGAGAGACGAATACCGAAGATGTTTATTCAACAAATGTAGATGATACTAGGAGCATCTTTACATCCGAAGAATATTCAGCTTCAAAGGTAAAAATATATATTTTTTATTTTATCATCCACACTTTATTTGGTTTGAAGAGTGAATATATCATACACCAAACCTGCCATATTTTATTGAGTGTGCCAGTGTTTAGATTTGACATTGTTTTTTATTAATTTTTATTTCTCGTAATTTAGATTTTTTGTTTTGTTTTGTTAATATTTTTCAGGTATTTGGGTGAGTAGGTCATGAAAAAACCTAGTTGTTCTTTTTACTCTTTAAATTATTGCACCCTTAGATAAATTAGGATAAAATTAAAGCAATAGTTTTGCACCTCACCAATGAATACTTAGTTTCAATCACTCGTACAATTCTATAAAAAAACCACTTTTATGATTTGCATTGTAAAAATGTTATTAAAATAGGACTTTCGTGTGTATGCAAGTTAATATGTTATGTTGAGATTCTTAACTGAGTAATGAGTATCAATGTGTGTACAAATATGTGTAATGTTATGTTTAGAGGTCAACATTTTACAGTTGTACACAACTGCAAGTGAATGGGAGTAAGATATATTTACCATTGAATCGAATAGTAAATTGTTTTAAAATATAATCTATTTTTTTCTACATATCAAATTTAGGATAGTGTATTGCATACTAAGACCACAGTTATCTACAACAGTGCTAAAAACCAAACTGGTAGCAATAAAAGGCTTTTATTCTTATTAATTATTGTTTGATACTTGATTTATCACTTATGAAAAATATCAGTTTTAACACTTATCTATACTTAATTACTATATTATTAATTTTAAAAATTTCAAATTAAACTTATACATAAGTGCTAGGTTTTCAAAAAATCAGTGGGTGTCCTGCAGAATTATGATTAAAAAATGCTAATGAAATATTCATATAAAAAATGATTTCAGAGGAAGCTAAGACTTTAAAGAAGCCACATATTAGTCACCTATATATTTTATGTTTTATGAGAATATTAAAAGGAATTTATCTTCTTCATTTTAATGAATTAAATGCATTGTGGTCTCTCAAATTTTGTTGAAAATTCAAGTGGGAAAAAGGTTTTGTTGACTGTTTTATATTTTGTGTTATTTGTGTAATTTATGTTTGTATATTGTCATGTATGTTTTTGTGGTAATAAGACGTGATGTACTAAGTATAATTTGTTCACTTTGTTATATTTTATTACACATAGTATTCATAGAGCACAAGTAGTGCAATTAGAGCATTTTATCTGATTGTTATATGTATTGTTATTATTGTATTATTTGTAATTGGGATTTAAGAGGACGTCATACCACCTATCAATTATATGAAAATAGTTTTGAGTGAAACAAACATACGGAGACAATATTTGCAGAAGCTTTACTAAAGCTTTATAGTTCACAGAGAAAAACTTAAGCTTTAAAGATAACTAAGATCATTAATTCGTGAAGATTCATTTTTTTACTATAAATTAGTGCAAGGATTTACATAAAAATGCTATGAGGTAAAGTTATTTGCTATGCAGTGAGACAATTTGGTAAATCTGCTGAAAATATTGTACTGTCTTGTAAGTTTGTGCCACGTAAAACCGTTCTTCTATATAATCTTGTTATGCAAAACCAATGTAAACCAAGTAATAGTAATTAATTGTACTTAATGTTTAAAATCTTAATTCTCCTCAATATATCATGCTTGCATTAAACTTCTTAAATACTGGTTGTGTCGGCGTCTTTTTAAGTTATAAGGGTAAATATTAACAATATATGATATTAATTTATAAATATATTATAAATTATATCATTTTAAATGAAAAACAATTATTATGTCTAAAAATCATTCAAAATTATATTTACCTTTATACTTCCCATTATTTACGCATGCCTTGATTAAGCATTTCTCAAATTAAACTTGTTATGATTTTGATTTTGTATACAAACAATATAACAGAAGGTTTTGAGCAGTTGTATACATATGGCTTAGGCTTGATTCTCAAGACAACCTTGCTGTAGTCCTACAACAAATTCCTTTTAATAGGATTATTATATTCTTAATATAAAAATTCTCATGAAATGAATATTTTTTTTTGATATTTTTACCATTTTACTAATGACTCTTTCTTCTGCTCAAAATCTAAAATAAAAATTGTATTAGTTTAAATAATGTAGTTAAAAACAAAACAAACATTTTATAATTTGAGAAATCCTACTTAATAGTGATGAGCCAAACAAAAACAGATTTACCTTTAAAATATTAATAAGTATTAAAAATAAACATATGAACACAAACAATATTATAAGTATTATTTACTTTTACACTTACCAAATTTTATCTTGATTGAATATGGATAATGTAGAATCTAGTTTTTTTCATGAAATACTTATAATTATAATGAAGTGATAGTGAATACCCACTGGCCATCACTAATATAACCTTCTAAATCTTTTTTATTTTAGCCTATAGCATTTTCAAAGAAGTTAGATTTTTTGTATTAGTATTTGGTGCGTACAATAAAAATGTTTGCGCCAAAAGTTTCTATCAGCAGTTTTATAGTCCAGTCTGTGTTCTTTTAACATGTCAAATAAGGCACAAATACAAAATGTAATAATTTTTAAGACATCCTGTCATAAAATTTTGTTTTAATATTACACTTGTTTAAATTAAAAAATACGCAATTTGATGCCAAACGTCCACAGAATAAACAATGCATTTTCTGATGTTATTTTAATTTTAGAAATTTACGTTAACATAATTAACTGTGTAATATTTTATGTCTTGGATATATTTTAAAATAAATTATAAGCCATTGTTACTGTAGCTTCAATTTCTGTTACTATCAGAATATAATATACATGCCACGTTATATCAAATATGAACATTAGTTATTATTTATTATGTGTGTACAATTAAAACCAATCCAAAGAAACTCACTAATTTAAATGTACAGATTATTTTTTTTTTCTGTTTAAATAATTATTTATTTTTAACAATTAATTCTTAAACAATATTTAAACTGTAAATCAATATGCAATTTAAGAATACTTTGAAAATGCTTTAGACTAAAAATGTCTTTATTAGTATTATTTATTATGAAAAAGTAATAATAAGTAGTAGTAGCTATTCGTTATTATTACGGTGACGGTGTAGTAAATGGTGGCTGTATGTATTGTTTTGTGATGACCAGAATGGCTCTACTGCCTCACCAGATGTTTCGGAGACAACAGTTATCCGCAGACAGTTACCACAGTCATCCGACGGCAGCAGTGTCCTCAAGCGTCTACACATTGGAAGTCCACTCAGACAAAAATGGTCCGGCCTCGTATCCAAGGTATTTGGCAATTTACCTGCAAAATTATTAACAATATTCTAATCATTTTTTGTTGAAAATAATGTATTACATGAAGAATGATGTGATGTGGAAGATTACGTGTGGAAAGACTGTCGACCAACAAGAAATGACTGCCTTAGCTTATCAATGTTTGCAAATGAAAACGCCACACAAAAACCTAAGCACTAAAGCGCCTGGATTTAAACCACGGCAATTATCATTCTAGATACTTATTTTGTGTTTTTCCCTATTGTATTTTTGAAAGTACATCAATTTTGTAAACCAGCTCTATTATAATTGCAACATTTTAATTTGATAATTTTAAATTATTTTAGTGAGTTTTTCTTTTATAACTATTTTGTGTTGTCTCATTTCTGTTGGTTTTTCATTTTGTTATTATTCTTATTGATTCTTCTTTTTTATTTTAGTTTTTCCATTTTGTAATTTAATTTTTAAATTATATAGTGACCAAATGCAATTTATTAGTAATATTTCATTCATGTGTTTTATGTAATTGTGTATCAATGTATATTATTTAGAATTTTTTTTTTACAAATTACTTAACAAGTAATTGATTTTACCGTATTTTTTTTTTGTATATACCTAGGCTAGTTGTATGACGTGCACATTTGACATTGATTTCTTAATTTTTTGCTTATCAGCACTACCATTAACATTATGATTAATTTTATGTGTGATTTTATATCATGCATTTGTATTATAAATGGTTTGATTTTGTACCAGATGTAAATTAAATTGTTTTGAAAAAAAATATACAATATAGTGATTTTAGACTATAATTTTTTTGTTTGTAAATTATTAGATTGGAATAAACCTCTAATGGTTCCATTAAACTTTTTTTTAAAATTATAATTAGATCAGAGTATCAAATTATTGGTGTAGAACTGTGAAGATAACATACTATATTTAAAGTAGCACTATCATATAGATATAATGTGTTGAAATTTAATTCAGAAAAAAATCTAGGCTACAAATAATGTCTAAAATCATATTACTCGAAAAATAATGAAACCTAGTTTACTTCTTATTAAGTGCAATAAGAACAAAGTAAAGTACCTTTTTTCTTTCCCAGTGAGAGAAGATTTTCAAAAAAAGTTAAACCAATTTTTTAACAGCGAGTATAATATATATCTAGGTGCCTTAAGAGGGCTCCACACCCGCATGTGTCTCCGTCTACAGGCAATTTTGGAAATTTTACTCTTATTTAATATTTTTTAAATTAGAGTGAATAACCCATGGACCAGGATACGATTTAAAGGTAAGTTTATTATGTAGGGCACTTCAGAATATCCTATTGACCTACCTATTATTTTTAAGTAAAGTTATGGTCATAATTTGCTCCTTGATAAAAAACATAAATGTCAATAAAAGCCTCCGAGATACCCTACTTGCCCTAAATAATAATATTACCTTTAAATTTATTATAGGTCAGAATAAAAAAACAAAATCTGTGAATGGCAGGGCTATCTAGTAAGGCAGTGACGGCCATGTGTATGTCGAAAAGTTAGAGGAAAATAGCACGCCGTTATAGTTCGGACACAGAAATTACTTTGACTGTTTAAATTTGTAAGTGTTTTTAGTTTTTGTAAAATGTTTATAGTAACTATTGAAATTAATATGATTAATTAAATAATCTTTATTAGTTTATAGATCTGACTTTTCTAAGTACACGAAAATATCGAGATTAAAATCCATAAGTACAAATTTAAAGTGTATTTTTGTATGCTACTTAGGTACCGGGGGTATGGGGAGAGCCCCCTATAAGCCCTATAAGACTTTTATCAACAAATATTTTAAATTAAAATTTCAAATTCATAAATTATTACAAAAATACAAAATGAAACCAAGTTATGTCATAGTTGTATCTTGTATTAGTATATAATTAGTTTGTTACTCGGTAAGCAATAAGCATAATTTAAAAATAAATGGTTTTTTCATTTTCATCTTTATCTTATTGATATTTATAAATACGGGGTGTCCTGTCATACATTGTATCTAATTAGTAGGGCAGAAGACTGCATTTGCGAATTTAAAATTATTTTAAATGTTCATCATACTATTAACAATAACATGATTATTGACTTTTCCCAGTCGCATGTTTTTCCTAGAAACACGTATCGAGAGTTGCTTATTAGATTGATTGACGGGTTATAGACTATAGTTATAGTTATGAGAAGTATCTTAAAACCCATAAAATTACCCAAATGATTAAATACTTATTGTAACTTGTAAGCAGTACTTAAAATTTAAACAAAATGTATTTATTAAAATAAGAGGTACCTACAGAAAAATTCTTGATTTTTGTTAAAAATAATCACTTTAAAATGCATATTTTGTATATTTAAGTGTATAATTGGTGATTTTTTAGAGCTACAAGTCCTTTACACTATACTGAAAAGTAATTACAGAACCTACATGCTACATATACAGATACATGAGATAGTAAATACTTCTATGATTGGTAAAACCGCAATTCCAAAAATATAATCTACATAATAGTAAAAACTTCAAGATTAACAATAATATTGGTATGAACGAATAGTGAATACTACGAACTTGTGCTGTCACACAGTATCTGCATTGGTTTTCGCGGTTACACGCTAAACACTACCCAGTACACATTATTGCTCTGTATTTTGAACAGCTTTAATCTTTTTTCTATGCACACTTCGCAGTAAATCGTAATTTATTGTTAGAATTATATATTCTTCTAATCCAAAAACCAAAATGGATAAAAACTAAAGGAAATCGACTACTAAAACTTTTTAAGCAAGAGGTCATTGATGAACTTACCAAGAAGCCAAGGAATTTTAATTTAATATTATAAAAAAAAAAATTGATAAAAAGACACAAGTCTGTATTTAATATTTATTTTGATATCCCTCCGCATGGAACATTCTTAACGCTACTGGGGGAGATCGATTATCGCAGGTCAGGTTAGAAAACTGCTACCCTCTAAATTTATAAATTGCATAAAAATCGCAGATTTAGATACTATGGATTGAAAACTCAGAAACTGCGAATTAAAACGTTTGTTTGAAGAATGAAGATACTTTGTTACACTTAATTGACCTAACAATTATGAACTTAAATAAACTAAATTTTAAATTACTTTACATTTTTGTTTAAAATAAGATAAGGTGTGTTCAAATTGGAAACGCTTATAATTATTATTGTTTGGTTCTTGTCATCAAAAAGGTTGCCTACCTCTGGATTTCAGCAATGACTATTATTAATTATTAGTTATTGCTTAATACCTGCCAATATAATATGTTATATTATATTATGCGGAGTTTTAGAAAACAAAAAGTAAATAAGATAACTAGGGTTTTTATATTATGTAAAAAAAGAAATAAAAATACAAACGTTTTGTTGACTGGTTATGCAAGTAATGACTAATGAGTAATGACTATAATGAGTAATGAATAATGATTAATGAACAATAGTGAATTATTATCGCAGATCAATTACACGATGTAGGGAAGATATACTTCTCTACATAGGCACATAGCGCATGGTATACCGAGACTATGATTAGTAGGTACTAGATACCACGGTTATCTACAAGTAGGTAGTAACTATAAATGTCTAATTACTAATAAGACTCGCGAAAAACCCGTTTTATATTTTAAAAAAAATAATCAAAAACCAAGTAGGTACCTCCATATTGTTTGTGTTTTTGATGAATCAGTGCAAAATTATATTTTCCTCCACACGCTACAAGACTCGCAAATCGCAATTACATCCTTCAACCAAAACCTAAATATCCGAAAAAAATGAATTTTTTTGATTTTTTCTGATGTTTCTTCAGTCTTCAAGTCTTTAACGTGAGCATCCTCACACAGTCACGCCCAGATGTTGAATTTTTTTAGACGCATTGCTAGTAATGGTCCCCACGAATCTATATTTTTTCGACTGCATCTTCGCAGTCCACACGATTGAAATTCCTATCAAAAACACCAAATCACATTTATCAATTAACTATAAACCGGAAGTCCCCATCCCGCATTTAATTTATTAAAACCCTGGTACATAGTATGTGCAATATAATCGGTTTATAATTTAAAAGTAAAGAAAAAACCTATAAAAATATGGCCAGATATATTTTGTAAAATCATGTCGAAATGAAATTCTAACTGCAAAGCCTTATCTAATCAGTGTTTAAACTGTTTAAAGTTTCATGTAAGTTAAGTTAGGGTACTAAGAACCTGATAAATTCTCCATGTTAATGTGAATTCATACCCGTGGAAATGGCCTTCGTGACTCCTCAGTTATCCGTAAATAGTTTAATGAAATATTAAAATATTAAATATCATGAACAGTGAAATTAATGATAAATATCAGGTAATTATAGACTTGTAAAATAAGGTTTTAAATGTCTACTACCACTTACCAGTGGTGTATTTACAAGAGTGGGGGAGGGGGAAAGAACTGGAACCTCCCAGAACTCCCCCCCCCAAAAATAAAAATAACTCAGGATATTGAAATTTTAATTTGATATCATATTTTAGCACTATGTAGATGATGTTTACACAAATACGTTAAGTATAACAATAAATAAAAAACTTTTTTCTTATATTAAAACCTATTAGAATTAAAAGAATTGGTGGACCCCCCCTCAAGAAAAAGTTGAAAATACGCCACCGTCTACTAATATGCTTGTAGACTGTAGTCAAAGAAAAAATGTATTATTAGTGAAAAATAATTTAAACCCATCTATTTGAAATGTACCGAGTTGTGATAATTCGAAGACATTCATATTATTTAAATATGATTTTATTTTTTAATGATTATTATCCATTTTGCCTATCCGTGTATTATATGACAAGCATTTTTTTCTTGCAAATGCTAACCTGCTTATAAAAATTAAATACTTAAGAATGAACTTTGGAACATAATGATTAATGACTACACCTGTCACCAGAAGAAATCTTTTTTTTTAGTACATACTCGCGTATTTATACAAGAAAAACGATGGTGAAATTAGAATTTTTTGATCGGCCACAGTTTAGAAGTTAAAGTGTTTTGATTTTTGAATTCATCTTGATGGTTATTGGTTTTTGGCATGAGTAAAGTAGGTATCGTATGTAATGTAAGCTTGCCAGCTAAAATATAACAGCTAACAAGCAGTCGCTCACATAGAAAAGAGAATAAGATAGGTAGAGAATGATTAATAAACAGTAAACGGTCACTTTGTACGTTCCATTGTTTAAAATGCGTAACGCGGAACATTTTTTTTTTATTTACAGGGACAAATCGTTTATTTAATACATATAAAAACCACATGTAGGTATAATAAATTGATTTAAAAAAAATCGTAATTCGTTATTTATTTTTGTTTAATAATACGCTGGTTATATAGTTTTCAAAATAATAATAAAATATGTATATATCAGTATATCACTCACCGGTGCCATCATATAATTTGTAGATATTTTCTCCTCATTGAACATTTCCAACATATATAATTCAGATTTAATCGTAATGTTGACGTACAGTCAAAAATCATCTTTGACGAGTTTTGGTTTCAATTTGGTTGAAATTGTTGTTGCCATCGGGACGACGTGTCGTTTACACATATGTTGAGAGGGGACTGTGAGTTGTGAATTTGTGACATCGTCGTCTTATTGAGAAATTGCATTACTCTATTACAGCGATAAACGTTAGCTATAATTTGATTAAATTCGATATCATGCTTGGGAAATACCTATATTTATATTATTTATGTCGATAGGTATTGATAAAATTATTATTGATAATATGTAATAAGTAGTTAATAAGTAACTAATAAGTAATAGCCATTTACCGACGATATGACCTTACTATATAATAGACAAGCAATGAGTGTATAGAAAACGAAAATAGTTCTTTACTCGTACAGTGACATACATTGTATTATGGTTGAGCGGGGTAATAGGTAAGATATATTATCTTCTGTGTATACAATATTGTATCTTGTCGACAAGACGTTAGGCTACGTCACAATGACATTTCTTATCTAGTACGCTAATATCATGTAGAATTAACCAGGTATGAATGTATGATCACATCGAATACGGTATATTTTGAGAGACACATATTTTGTTGTTTTTTATCTTTAAAGTGAAGTTGTTAATTAGCATATTCTAGAAAGATATAATTTTCAAAATATCTTTAGAGAAATTTATTTACATTTGAAATTGTTGAATTTTCTGATTTATTATGTAACATAAATTTTGTATTTTCCTGTCATTGCGCCTGACTAAAAAAAATGTATTGTTTCCTCACATAACTCCATTAAATCCATGACATTACCTACCATAATTATTTTATTTTGGTATATTGTGATTTGTTACCATAATTTATAAACTTGTCATTATTATTATAAGTTAGCATAAACGCTCTTAAATGTATTAAACATTTAAACATCGAGTGATCTAATCGGACTAATCGCGTCTATTAATATGATGATAATATAATCTAAACAATTTCAGAGTCACTAATTTATTTATTTTTGTATAATTGGCTGATTTTTTTGTTGCCCATGGGTTGAAATTTCCTAAATACTCATCCGGTATTTTTGTATGCATAGTGCATACCCCGTAAATGAATTATGTTTACGCCCATCATATGGTCTTCACAACTAACTTTACTGTACTGCAGGCTGCAGCGTATATTGTGTGTCTGATATTTTATAGTTGGTGTATAGCATTGCGCTGTGCATATTTCATTAGAATCATATAAAACTTATTTATTATTAAGTATAAGTAGTAGACGGCGACAGTCGGAAAAATAATTTGTATTTTAATATCTAAAGTTTATTAATTTTTAATTTTTTTTGATTTAAAAATACGTTTCAACTACCCGGGGTATTAGTGTTTCTAAAGAAACACATAATATTTTATAATTTCTAAAATACATTACTACTAATGATGTATACAAAATATCTTAAAATTATACATTATAATTGATTTATAAATGATACACTTAAGTTTATTGATTTTGTAATAGTAATTATATTATAATCACAATTTAAAAATAATAATATCAAAATAATTAATAAATATAAAAATTCTTTTTTATAAACTACAGTTTTTTTTAA